TATTTATTTATTTTTGCCTGTGGCAAAGCAGAAACATGGAAAAGGAGGAGGGGCATGGTGAAGGACAGTTGTTCACCTTGTGTCAGCCAGGAAGCAGAAAGAAGTTAACAAAAGGGGGTCTAGGAAGATCTACCCTTCATAGGCAAGCCTCCTGCCACCTATTTCCTCCAGCTATATTTCACCACCTCCTAACAGACTATTTGCATTTTATGTGTACCAGTGGATTGATTCTAGTAGAGCCCTCATGATCTAAGTCACAGACAGCCTCAGAGGCATGCTTTAGTAACCTCTCAGATCTCTTAATCCAGTAAAGTTGAAAATAAGGATTAACCATTAAGAGCTGTGGAGATAGCTCATTTAGTATAGTAGCTACTGCACAAGCATGTGGACCTGAGTTCATATCCCCAGCAACTTATGTAAAGACCAAATGTAGTGTCATGTGCCTATAACCTCAGTGCTGGAGTAGAATAGGGATGGATAAGAAGGATTGCCCAAAAGCTTTCTGGTGAGCCAGTTTTACAGATCAGTGGGTCCCAGGCTCAGTGAGACACATATTTGAAAAAATAAAGTGGAAAACACCTGATGTCCACCACTGGCCTCCAAGTGCACACACGTACATTATGTATACATGGGGAAAAATTAACCATCACATTTAGAAATAAGGAATTTTTGCCAGGCATGGTGGCTCATACCTTTAATCCCAGCACTTGGGAAACAAAGGCAGGCAGATCTCTGTGAGTTCAGGGCCAACCTGGTCTACATAGCAAGTTCCAGGCCAGCTGGGGATACAGGGAGACCCTGTCTCAAAAAGAAAAAAGGAATTCTTTTTTTGTTGTTTGTTATTAGTAGAATATTTTTATTTAGAGGAAAAAAGAAAAAAAGAAAAAAATGTTTTCCAAACACACACAGGAAAGGGATATAGGCAAGGGGAAGTACTGTCCATCCTGCCCATGTAGGGAAATAGGATGATGGCACAGAATATAAAAACTATGGGGGGCTGGAGAGATGGCTCAGTGGTTAAGAGCACTGACTGCTCTTGCAGAGGACCCAGGTTCGATTCCCAGCACCCACATGGGGGCTACGAACCATCCTTAACTCCAGTTCCAGGGGAATCTGAATCTCTCTTCTGACCTCCGTGGCATTGCACAACATGGGTGCACTAAACATACATTCA